GCTGCGGCGTCGGCAGCGGTGGCGGCGTCGCCCCCCGGCGGGAGCCTGTCCCTTTCCCGTCGGGGAGCGCCGGGCCGGGGCCCAGGGGACCCCGGGCCACGGAAAGCGGGAAGAGGATGGACTGCCCGGCCCTCCCCCCCGGATGGAAGAAGGAGGAAGTGATCCGAAAATCAGGGCTCAGTGCTGGCAAGAGCGATGTCTACTACTTCAGGTACCTTTCTGAGGGGGGCGGGTGGGGTGGGGTGGGGTAGGGTGCAGTGTCAGGTAGGGGTCAGGGGTCCAGAGCTGGCCTGGGCAGGGGTTGCAGGTATATGACAAGGACCGGGTGAGCTGGTATGGAAGGGGAGCCGAAGCCCTCTCCCTTCCTTGGCAGAGGTTAGACCACAAGTGAGGGGCACAAGTGTCTGAAAGGTGAGGAGGGCACATTCTGTTTAGAAGGCTTCCGGGGGAAAATGGTTCGCAAACGAAGGGTTAATGGGAGAGGGGTGGTTAGTCAGTCCCTGAAAGGGTTAAAAGAAGGTGTAATTCATCGAAACTGTAAAACCGAGTCACTGTTGGCGCCTGTCCCAGCATGTCCCGGATTCATCATCAGAAGTGCGTTTAATCTTGCACATGTGGAAGAATTAGCCGTCTGCGGGAAGAAAGTTCCGGTTAACTTCGTAGGGTCCAGGGAGGTTTTCACTTATCAAGCCGGCGTTTGCAACTCCAGAAACTGTGTGGAATGCTTTGGCGTGGCAGGACATGCTCATCTTTTGACAGCGGAAGTTGTCAGACTCCCAGACCAACATTTGCTCCCCCAGTGGACATGTGACAGTGTCTGGAGACATTTTCGGTTCTCACCTGGGGAGAGGGTGCTGTTGGCATCTGGTGAGGAAAGCCCAGAGGTGCTCCCCTGCTGCAGGACTTATGCAGCCCGTGCAGTAATTATGTTTCCCCCAAGTGCCAACCAGGAGTAAAGTTAAGAAAGATAGCTGAAGTGTTTCAAGGTTTCTCACTTGAATGGCATCTTGCGGTACTGCGGTTACCCTGCTCATGTCCTTCGTTTGTGGTAGGTGGCAAGCTCGGGAAAGGGTCATCGGCCACTGATACCCGTGGACTATAAACAAACTGACTAACTGTTCCTCCACACCATCCCATTTTTCGAAGAGTACAAACATGTTATATTGAATAGTTTGGAGGCCCCTTCGTGGACAGATTGAACGGTTTTCAGGCAGTGAAATATTTGAGTGTTTGGGAACTGGTTCTTAGTCATCCAGAAGCTGCAGTAGTGTGAAAGATTTCCTATTGGTCATTCCCGGGGGCGGGAGAAATATGCTTATGTATAGTATTTCCAAATCATATATGCCATCATTTACGTTTAAAAAGTTGAAAAGTCGTCTACCAGCACACGCATCAAAATACATGAGTGTAGTTTTTGCTGATAGAGACCATAAATATGAACATACTGTTTTCCGTTCCTCCTTGGTGCTGTTGGTCAAACCCAGGGTCTGGTGCATCTATAGGCAAGTGTTCTGCCGCTGAGCAGCAGCATCCCCGGATCCTGAACACATCCTTGCTGGTCTCTTAGATACAGGAATAAATAATTAGTTTACTCTTTTCAGCTCTCGCGTTCCAACTCATTCTTTCGCTTTGTTTGAGACAACTTATTTTCAGAGTTTGGAATCGAATCTATTCCTAGCACATGCTGGACAAATGCTGTAAACTGAGTCATGTCCTGCTCCCCCTCCCCACTTTTAAACTTTTGTGACCAGAGCCTTGCTAAATTTCCCAGGCTGACTTGAATTTGCCTTGAGTTGGTGATGCTCTTGGGCAGCCCCCTGTGGAGCTGGGATTACAGTTCTATCCCGCCAGGCCTGACTAGAAAACGTGAAGTACGAAGGTGATTGTGTGGGTTTGTTTCCGTTTCTCCATCACTGTTCGGTTCAGTGCTGTGATGCTGCTAAAAATAAAACACTAGCCAGACGTAGTGGCCCACGCCTTTAATCCCAGCACTCAGGTGGATCTCTGTGAGTTTGAGGCCAGCCTGGTCTACAGAGCAAGTTCCAGAACAGCCAGGGCTGTTACACAGAGAAACTCTGTCTCGGAAAACAAAACAAAATATTAATTCGCTAAAACTCAAAGATATATTTGTTCCATTTAGTGCTATTTACAATTCCTCTTTGCTTTGGGTTTCATTTTACTGTTATCTTTTCTAGGCAGGCAGTCTGCATAGGCGTTGTGTGAACTGCTGCCGATGTTATGTCTTGGAGGCAGTCATACTTGACAAGAGTGTTTTGTTTCTGGGATTGAATCCCTTGAAGAAAAGCTCCGTTCTTAGTTGAGCCTTGTAGAATTTGTATTTCACTGCTCACAGAACTTGTCTTGGGATACGGTTTGTTTGCTTTTGGAGTGATGCATTTATTCAAACTAACTTGTGTTTTTCTCTTTTTGGATACGCAGCTGGAAAGGCTATTTCAAAAGCCAAACTGGGTGCAGTTGCACATGCCTGTAGTCACAGATACTCAGGAAATTGAGGGACAGGGTCACTTGAGCCAGCCTGGGTAATGTAATGAGACTCTTGTTTCTAGAGGCTGGAGATGGTTTGGCAGGTACAGTTGCGTGCTGTCAGGCCTGAGGACTTGAGTTTGATCCCTGGAGCCCACGTGGTGGAAGGAGAGCGCTGACTCTCCGAAGTTGTCCTCTGCCTCCTCCTCACCATGCACACCGTCTGCCACATACACACCAAATAATAAATACATACATGTTAAGAAATTAGAGATAAAATAACCAGAGCTTTGGACTGTTGTAGAGCTCTTGTCTAGCATTTTTGATTATTTAGTAGTAGTATCATCAAGATGGAATCTCATTATGTAGTTCTGGCTGGCCTTGCACTTAGAGATCTGCCTGTCTCTGCCTCCCAAGTACTGGGGTTAAGGCATAAGCACCATACACAGCTAGCATTTTATGTAGTGTATGCATAGGTGGTGTGGTGTGGAGGCCTGAGATTGACATCCGCTTTCTTTCTTAGTATCTCTCTACCTTTCATATTCAGTCAAGGTCTCTGACAGAATCTGGAACCAGTGTAGCTAGCCTCTCCCATGTGTGCTAAGATGAAGGGATTAGGCAGGACAGTCAGCTCTTGCATGGATTCTAGGGCTCACACTCTAGCCCTCACACTTTCGTTTCAGGTGCTCTACCCACTGAGCCACCTCCTCAGACCTTGCCTAGCATACGCCAGGCACTGGGCTGGATCCAGTATTACACAAAAGTACAGAAATCAGTCATGTTGCCACGGAGCTCCACTCCAGTCTGTTAATGGTCACATTTTCCTGACTCTGTTCTACGTTTTTGATAGATTTTTTTAAATTTAAATTTAAATAGTAATGCTTATTGATAGATAATCCCAATGTAACCAATTAAAAGCCGACTTTCTGTACAAATTTGTCCTTAGGAAATTCATCAAACATCATAGTGATACTTACTCTTTTATACGACACTACAATGTTATTTCTTGTGTTTTGAAATGGAAAGGACATTGAGGAGATTTGTGCTTATTTAGGGCTACAAAGAGTGTTGTCTGTAGTTTGTTGATCTCCTGTAAGGTGTGAGTTACTGTGTGGAACTGCTGTCACCTGTTGGGACTGTCTGCAGAGGCTATGCTATGAACACTAAGAAGCGTGAAATACAGTGTGAGCTTGCAGTGCATTAGTTTCTTTGACTTGTGATGGCAACTTTCTGTGATGGATTATGATGATGGGCCAGAGTAACTGTGAGTTCATATTACTTTTCAAACTCAGTTTTACATATTGGTGTCCCATATGATACCTGCCTTTAAACCAGGAGCTCACAAAACTGTATCTGTTAATGGTAGGTTCAGTGTGAACTCTCCTGCTGGTAGGTAATGTGAACACCTTCACCCAGCTGTTCACACAGCTTCTAATAATGCTAGCCCCCAAATTAGTCTGCTCCTGGGGAGATTAATTTAAACTAAGCCATGCCTATTAACAAAGGGTGTGCCTGACACTTATTAATTGGGCTGAAATTAAATGTACAGGGAAAGCCTTTGGTTTTGGTAGAATATGTTTTGGCTGCATCTTGAAACTGCCCGAGTTGTAATAGAAGCACCTCTGGGTGCTAATTAAGTACTATAATTACGCCCTCTGTCAGGATTACTGAGATAGTGCTGTGGCAGTTCATCTATTATCATCCAAAGCATGTTTTAAGAAAAAGGGTGTGGTTTGTTAAACTGCTGGGTCCATTGGTACGGTTTCTGAAAATCTTCATTGCCACATTTGAATCCATAAAACAGTAATTTTCTTACTGGCCTGGATCCCTCATTTCTAGCATTTGGTATTCTGTGTAACACATACTGGTTTGTGTTTCTGAAATACTTTCCTCTTCATAGGCTTCTTTAGGAACTTACTCTCTCTTGCCTTTTTTTTTCCCCCCCTTTCCCTGTGCAGCGCCCTTCATGGTCCTGGTATTAGGCATATAATCCCAGGCTGGCTTTGAAGAGGTGGCAATCCTGTGTCCGCCTCCCACACGCTGGAATTGCAGGCACACACTATCGCTCTTGGCTGGTTTCACTTTCTTGAATTAGAAAGAACAGGACTCAGATGTTGAGGTCCATAAACATCTCAAAGGATCTTAATAGAAGTAGGAGTCCCCAGAGGAGGCAGCTAGGTATAAGATTGGATCTGGAAATGGTTCTCCAACTCCTGGGCTTATCAGTGGCCCACTGTGAGCATGCTGCGGCTTTCCCCATGCTCTTATTGCCCACTCATTAGTAGTGGGGTCTGGTTGCCACAGTACTTCATACTATTTGACACAGGGATTAATACAGTCCTCGCTCGGGTAACCAAATAGGCAGCACCTCTAGCTTTATTTTTGCTCACAGTTCCAGGGGATACAATCCATCCTGGCTGAGAAGGTGTGACTGTAGCCCTAGCCCAGGTTATTACCCCTGACTCAACCTTCAGTATCTGAAGCAAATGTAATATTGTATAATTTCACTCATAAAGAACCTCTTCAGCAGGTTGCTTGTGGCGGTGAGATTGAAACATGGCAATTTTATAACCAGACATAGCTCAGTATTGCAAAACTAGAAGAAAAGTCAGCAGTCACGTCATGGTTATTCCTGCAGAGCGGTGCTGTCTCCATGGGTTCAGAGCAGGGAAACACAATTATTCTGAGTGCTTATGGGGGTCTTCATGGTAGACCGAGGATGCTAGG